GTATCAGAGTTATATATATTTATACTTCTCATTCAAATTAAATTCCCTCTATCTAGGAGGCACAATTTATATGGATAGTGTTTATTTTTTACAAGAACAAGCTGGAATGAAAACAAGCAAAAATGAAATGAAAGTAACAACTTACTTCTTGCCTTTTTTAAAAAATGTAAGGAGTAGAAAGTACAGATAATTGTGTGAAAATGTAAGAAGTAGAAGTAAAAAGTAYGCTGAAAAACAATTACTCAAGTAAAGTACAGATACCCAAAAATTCTACTTAAGTACAGTAAAGAAGTATTTGTACTTAGTTACTTTACAACTGTGGTTGTTTTTGGTTCTTCCTGTGAGCGTTTCGTATCTCACCGTGTTTTTGTACAGCACCCCTCTGGGCTCTTCTACAAACACCGCCTCGGTGCCACAGAACATGACGGGCAGCGCCAGCAGGAAATGGCTCCCATTAGACACGGCCTGGCATTTCTGATCCTGCAGGGTCACAGCAGCAACTGGTACAGACAAACCCTGCAGGAGAGGATGATGTCAGAAAAACTAACTAACTGTCTGAGCAGAGCAACAAAGAGTCCTAGCAAGAAGAACAAGACAAGACAGACCAGCGAACGCAGCCTAGGCCTCCTCTTTACACCCTCCTGTGAACATCACAGATAGACTGCAACAACGTCACACGCAAGAACAAAAACACACCCACGAAAAGGATGAGACTGTTACACCACAGCAACATAGAATAACATGCTAATGTCATATAATGTAACTTTCTCACCCTTCAACATGTGCAATAAACACAACAAGAACACATCGTGAATGTTACACTTTGTCATTTACGCCACAAGACTAAAAACAAACAAAGAATTCAACTACTTTAACATAGTAAAAAAAACAACAACAAAGCAGTGACAGTACCATTACATTTAATTTTAATGAATGAAGACCTGCAGTAGTTGTTGGTCCACTGTCAATCTGAGCAGTCCACCCTCACAGTTCACTGTTAAACTCTCTCTGCCTGGTTTAAAGAGAAAAAAGACAAAGATGCAGCGAGAACATTTATAGCTCTGGGATGGACACAATTATTGCTTAATTATTGCTGAAGAAGGGAACTATGTGAAACTGAAACTACCATTAAGTATGTCAATTCATTCCATGTTCACCTGCCAGCCTCATCTATAGTTCCTATAAAAGGTGTTCAGCCCCCTGGAGATTTTATGCTTTTATTGCTGTCATATATCAATTAATGTAAATGAGCATTTCAGACAAAAAAACATATCATTTTAATGCCAAATCCAGATTTTACAAATACCAATAAAATTAAATATCTAATATTACAGTAAATAAGGGCACAAATATTCACCCCCTTTTCTTTCTTCTTTAATACAAACTTCTTAAGTCTCAAATCTTGCATAACAAAACACTGCATTTTACTAAATTTTTCTTTACAAATCCTCTGAAGCTCAGGATGTGTAAGGATCAGTCTTTCAATTCATGTGACACCTCTCCAGAACATGCATCTTGTTGTCATTAATCATATTTTGTGTAGTTTTTGCTGTTTGCTTCAGGTTATTGTCTTATAAGAAATTTAAACAACTCCCAAGAYGGAGTTCTTCTGCTGACAACCTCAGATTATAAATAAACTGTGTTCTTACAGGCAGATAATACAACAAGAAACAAAGATGTTTGACCAAATACAACTTTTAACAAAATGTTTAATTTGTTATTGCTTCARTCCCCATATGTCCAGGTGACATAACTGAGCACTTTGAAAATGTAGCACAGCCTATTTATTGCATGGTACAGCAATGAAATAATATTGTTTTAAGTAAGATATATTTTCCSTAAATATACTAACATTCATTACTTTAAAATCCAGATTCATTTCTGTTTATTCCAAAAAATCCTCTTAATTCTCATCAATTTCCAATAATTCTCATGAAAATTTCCCACTCTAACAATTCCCAGTGTTATGAAACTGCATTTCTTATCTTTGAATGTTCTTCAAACCTGTTTTTTTCTTCTGCTACTCACCTGTCTGATTAACCCTGTCAGCCAGATACTTTACCAACACTTAGAGTATATGTAAATTTAAAAYAATCTCATTTAATTTCACAGAGCAACATTTCGTTGGAACCGCTAACCTTTTCTTTCATCCAGTGCCGGGTCTAACAACTCTGATCTCCTGTGAAAAATGTGGGCCGAGTGGCTCATGGCTGTTCAAAGAACAATAAGAAAGAAAAAACACATTAAGCATTTTAATAATATATATATTATTAGTCACGGAGTTCCTCAGGGTTTAAAATTTGGACCAATATGATTCCATGAGGTATAGTTAGATAGCACAGGATAAATTTCTACTGTGCTGATGATACTCATTTATATTTATCCATTAAACCTGGCTAATCAAATCACTTAAGACCCCAGGGTAAACCCCAGTATTTAGATGAAGAAAAGGGGATTTACAAAGTACATATTCCATACTCCAGCTAGAAATAAAATCTCTAATCCAGGACATTTGTTCCTACCTAACTAACTAACTAACTAACTAACTGACTGACTGACTAACTAACTACTCATTTTTATGCTTAAGTGTCAACCCAAGAACAAAAACAAAAAATTTGGTTGTCTTGAATGGAAAGAAGAGACTCACCTGTCTTGCCCCCAGTCAGGAGGATCACCAAGCGATTGGCCAGGTTGGCCTCGGTGTAAGAGGTCACCTCGATGTAGCCGCTTTTTTGGGCCCAGAGGAGAAGATCAGGAACAGAAGACAGGTCTGGGTCAAGTGTGCTGGACAGGGTTAGGTCAGGCTCAGGTGGAAAGGGTGGAGACACATCACTGGAGGACTGAGGAGAGAGAGATTAAACAAGTTATCCAAGTAAACAACCTGAGTGCAATCAAGTGTAAAAGATTTCAGCATGTAAAAGAACTAGGACACGGTAAATGTCCTGAACTTATATAGCACTTTATTAAATCCCTACAGACTCCAAAGCACTTTACACCTCAATCATTCACCCATTCAGAAACACATTCACACWCTGCTGCATTGTAGCCAGCTGCCCTGGGRCACACTGACAGAGGCAAGGCTGCCATACACCAGCACCACCAAGCCCTGCGACCACCACCAGCAGGCAAGGTGGGTCAAGTGTCTTGCCCAAGGACACAGTGACTGAGATGGATGGAACGGAGGATYGAACCGGCAACCCAACGGTTATAGGACGACTCTTTCACAGAAGGCAGACACCTGAACTCAAATTCAGTCTTTTGATTAGGAGTTTTCCATACGTGAACAGAGATGTGACCACGGACACCGTGAGCCCTCATAATCCAGCTAACAGGGACTGAGCTGCTGAGAATCAGCACCACCTTCTGCTCCTTTACCGAGACCACCGGGGACACAACAGAGACGATCACCTCCACCTGCCCAGAGCTGAAAGAAGAGAGAAAACAACGGTTACCTTTGGGAGTCTGTACAACAGGACGTGACTAGAGATTCGATTTGAGTTCTCACCTACAGCGCCCTGAGCCTGCTGAACAGAGCTGGATCACATGGACTTCAGGACCACCATCACCTGCTGCGGGACGGCTCCATCCTCGCACCTTTTGCGGCTGCAGGTCTGCGATCATGAAACTGGGACAAGAGAATGAAGATTGCAGCTGACACACAGCAGGCAGGGTGGGATCTGCAATAAAAAGAGAAAACAAGAGATATTTTGAAGTTGAAACTCTGAGTTTAACCTGGAGTTAGATCTCAGGATAACAACAACACAAATGACTTGTGAAAAAAAAAAAGCATTCAGCTCATTAGGACTCATGAGCTAACGGCTAGTCTGAACACAGCTAAAACCAAAGATGATTGTTGTCCTCTTAAAACAAACATATTTTAAATTTTATGGTGTTTTATAAGAATGGGGTTTTATGAACATTAAGGCAATAATTACATTTGTCCCACATGCTTAGTTACATAGTTTTCTCTGGTTATTTCCAAGTGTAAACAACAGCAGCAGCAGTTAGCTGTAGCACTACTGGTGCAGCCAGGGTCACCTCCAGCAGGAATATCAACAATAATCCTACCAGAGTAATCATGTCATGCAAAACTGATGGTGCTGTGAAGGTTTTAATGTGAGCAACTGCATGAACCCATCAACATGATTTTAAAAAAGGGAACTAGACAGGCACATAATGTGGAAGTTGAAGCCAAAGCAGTACAGGAGCATCCAAGCTGGTTGAAATCCAGTGGACCTCTGCAGAGTCGCAGTTCAGAGTTGCTGCCAGTCATTCTCAGATTTTTTTCTTAGATTTTTTATCTAATAAATGTCTGTGAAAATCCCCTGAAATTTAACAAAATTCTCAGTTATCCTACTCTCATTTTGTTCTCCTTGTGACAATATATAATTTTTCACCTTGAGGAGTTGTATCCTTCGCTTTACTGTGCAGTCATTCTCTTCATTGTACTACAAGTAATTCATCACCAACATCGTCGTTGCCAGGAAGATCTGCTGTGAGTTACCTGAAATATTGTTTTTTCCGACGTGCGCACACTGAGCAACAAGAGAGATTAGATTGAGCCATTGGGAAAACAAAGACTTCATATTTACCGGGGGTTTTTTTGTAAATTATTTTAAAAATTAATTATATATGTGTATATATA